TTGTTTTCCATGGCTGCTAATAAGTTCCCCTGTCATACTTATTGCTTTTGCATTTAATGATGTACCTCTTAATTTTTTTATCATGATATGGTATCCAGGGAAATGGCTGAGGAACAAATATGTTGGTGTCTCCCTGGTAGGCAAAACACTTGCTGTGATGGGTTTTGGGAAGGTTGGATCAGAAGTTGCAAGGCGAGCTAAGGGGCTTGGCATGAATGTTATTGCTCATGACCCATATGCCCCTGCTGACCGTGCACGTGCTATTGGGGTGGAACTTGTGAGCTTTGATGAAGCCCTCGCATCTGCTGATTTCATCTCACTTCACATGCCCCTCACCCCTGCTACAAAGAAGGTCCTGAATGATGAAACTTTTGCAAAGATGAAAAAGGGTGTACGGATTGTGAATGTTGCTCGTGGGGGTGTGATTGATGAAGAAGCTTTGGTGAGGGCACTTGATGCAGGCATTGTGGCACAGGTCCTGGTTCCTTCATCTTTGAGACACCGGAAACATATGAATTAGTTTTTTGTTGAACTATTGCTGTCTCTGTATTTCCCTCAACCTTAATGTCTGTTGGAATATCAAGTGTTCAAAAGCCGTCTTTAGTTATCTTCCACCTTTGCTCTCCATTGCTGGATTTAGATTCTAGAATAGACTTTCTCCTTGAATGTCTTACGTAATTATACTAACATATAAATCCTGTCACAGGCAGCACTTGATGTTTTCACTGTGGAGCCGCCACCACAAGATAGCAAGTTGATTCAACATGAGAATGTGACTGCAACTCCACATCTTGGTGCTAGTACTATGGAAGCTCAGGTCTGTGCATGACACATTCATGTGTGTCACACTTTTCTTCTAGTTCACACATTTACTAATACTCTTAGAATGATTGTCCAGGAAGGCGTGGCAATTGAGGTAGCAGAAGCAGTTGTTGGCGCTTTGAAAGGGGAGCTCTCTGCTACAGCTGTCAATGCACCTATGGTTCCTGCTGAGGTAAGTTCATTCAATATTTACCAGTTATCACCCTCTATTATTCATAAACCAGAGGGGGGGAAAAGAAGGCTCGATATAGTACCTTTACTGAATTAGCCTGCCCATGTAGAACCTCTTTCATTTTTCTAATTAACCTGCAATCTGCTTTACTGTAGAGGAGTCCTTACCAACATGTACAAACATTATTTTCTTTTGAGGTGTAGTTGCTAGCGATTCATGGAATTTTGATAAAATAAATGTCTGAATTTTAATGTTTCCTAACTCTCTCATGCAGGTTCTATCAGAGCTGAAGCCTTATGTCGTGCTTGCCGAAAAACTTGGCAGACTTGCTGTCCAGCTAGTTGCAGGTGGAAGTGGTGTGAAATCAGTGAAAGTAACATATGGTTCAGCTAGAGCACCTGATGATCTCGACACGAGACTGCTTCGTGCCATGATAACTAAAGGCTTGATTGAGCCTATTTCCAGTGTTTTCATTAACCTGGTTAATGCAGATTTCACTGCTAAACAAAGGGGACTACGGATAGCTGAAGAACGAATTCTTCTAGATGGTTCACCAGAAAGTCCAGTTGAGTTCGTTCAGGTTCAGATTGCCAATGTGGAATCCAAGTTTGCCAGCGCTATATCTGATTCTGGAGAGATTAGAGTGGAGGGTAGAGTTAAGGATGGAGTCCCTCATTTGACAAAGGTTGGATCTTTTGAAGTGGATGTGAGCTTGGAAGGCAGTATCATTCTTTGCAGCCAGGTTGATCAGCCAGGAATGATTGGAAAAGTTGGTAGCGTCTTGGGAGAGGAGAACGTGAATGTCAGCTTCATGAGTGTTGGAAGAATTGCTCCAAGAAAGCAAGCTGTTATGGCTATTGGGGTGGATGAACAACCCAGCAAGGAGTCACTCAAGAGGATTGGGGAGATTCCTGCCATCCAGGAGTTTGTTTACCTAAAATTATAGGGTTGTACTATCATTTTCAGATTTTTTTGAAATCTCTTTGAAGCCAATTTTGGTGATTGTGTTGTTCACTAGTAGTATAGTGTAGGATAACAAACAATTCGGCTGTGCGATTAGAGGTATTTACTACGTTGAGTTATCAACTTTGACATTTTGTATTGGCCAAAGTCATCTAAGCCATATTCAATTGAACACTTCTAGTACTTAAAATTTTGTTCCTATTAAGTACTTTTCGGATAATCGACAAAGAAATAGAGTGTAATACCCTTGCCAATGATGTGGCAAAGTAGCCAATTACAAACATTTGGTATTTGGGTCCAAATAATACTTTTTTAAATGAATATGAAGGAAAAAAGAAAATGAAAACCGCTAATTCTAAACCCCACCCCCACCCATCGAAACCCCCCTTTCTTCTGCTCCCATCATCACCCTCCCCGCCGCCGACTTTGACCCAGATTTTTCTTTTTTTTCTGCTTGTCTTCTGCTTTATTAACTATTTTCCAATTTTAGATTTAATTTTTTGTTTTTTAACTATTATTTTCTAAAAGATGAGAGATAAGGGAGAGAGAAAAAGAGTGGTGGGTCTCCACTTTTTCCCGTGAACAAGGTGGTAGTGTTCAGATTTAAAGAAAAAGGAGGAGATGGTGGCGGCGGTAATAACAAATTTGAAGATAAAGCGAAGGTGGTAGTAGAAAAGGTAAGGTGATTGAAAAAAAGAAGAAAAGAAGAAGGGTGAATAATTGTAGTGGCGGCAGCGAAGATGGTGGATGGTGGAGAAGTTGGGGCAAAAGAAGAATAAAGAAAGATTTTCAAAAAAAAAAAAAAAAATATATAATTTTGGTCATTCTCAAAAATAATAATCGATAAAATTTCTCTCTCTAAATTTATATATATATATATATATATATATATATATATATATATATATATATATATATATATATATATATATATAGAGAGAGAGAGAGAGAAGAAATAAGATTTTTTTTTGAAAATAATAATAAATGGAAATTAACAAAGGATGGGAAAAAAGAAAATGAAAGGAAAAAAAGAGAGAAGTGAAAACAGGTCTAATGTTTAAGTTGTTCTAATAACTTATTTAGAGAAAAATAAAATAAGTAAAAAAAATAAAAGGTATATTATGTCAGTTATATTTAAAAAAAAGGTGAACGAATGTTTCCTGCATCAGTTATCTTTTATTATTGCATATAAAAAAAGAGAAAAATGTAAAATAAGAAAAGAGTTAAATGAAATTAGAAAAGTAGCAAGAAACAAAGAAAATATACGAAAGAAAAGAAAAAAGAGAAAAAAATAAATAAAAAAGGAGCCAAAATTAGGGGTGCTTATCGTGCGGATAATTACTCTTAACAGTTCAACTTATCGGTTATCGGATTATAAATATTGTAATCCGCTAGCCATTCAATAAGACAACGAGCGAATCAGTATCGGATTAACGATTATCGGACGGGTTATCAGCTAAACCAAATAAAAAATTATTAAACAATCCTAGTCTTGTGAATACCAAATGACCAAACTGCATAGAGCATTGGCTTTTATTATTTCAACTTACCATTCATAATTCTCAATACATTACTCAATGAAGACTTGTCATGAGTACACGAAACAATCTCTGCAACAAATTTTTGAATACTCAGTGAAGACTTGTCATAGAGGTTATGACTTTCTATAGAAGAAATCAACTACGTAACGAAGATACACATATTGTCATGCATAAGGAAGTAAAAGTGTAAATATAAAAATTCTTAACGAATTAACGGTTTATCAGATAAGAAAATTGAGTAATCCGCCCCCAAACCGTTAAGCCGTTAATTATAAAATCTCATTCCGTTCACCATCCATTACCCCGATAATCCGATACCAATAAGCCAATAAGCTATCGGTTCAGTTCAGTTAGCGGTTACGGTTCGGTTTTGAACAGCCTTAGCCAAAATTGAGTATGAAATCATATTATGGTGAAAAAAAAAATGAAAAAAAAAATATGATTAGGAAAAAAAACTAAATGAACAGAAAAGGAGAAAAAAAAAGCAAAAAAAAAGAAAACCAAGAAAAAAGAGGCAATTATACACAAAAGCTACAATGCATAAAAAGGATAATTAGTTTGATAAGTAGAAAAATAAAGATAGGCAAAAGGTAATTAATTTGATTTTTATGAGTAAACCTATAAAACTCCCATAAGAGAATATGAGCATTTCGTTGTTCTCCCGTAGTTCAAACATAATGTTAGTAATTGTTTCATCAGATATTTTGGGGTGTGAAGCAGCGCCAAACCAAGATAAGCCTGCCCATCTGTGACCAGGGAATTTTTTCCTGCATTGGATAAGTAATGCTGAATAAAGGGAGCTCCCTGTTGAATTAACTAAATTGAACTTAAGCTTTGACGATTGATCTTGCATCTCATGCATAAGAAATTATCTCCCACCAGCCCAAGTTTCTACTAAATTATTAAGAAAATTTTACTTCCTATAGCAAAGATATACACCCTATTTATTATAAACCAAAATTATTTTAAAATATTATTTTCTATAGCTACCTTTAATATTTTATAGCAAAATAAGTATTTAAAGGTATATACTACCATTGAGGCATGAAATGCGATATTTACGTTTTTCCTCTCTTAGACAGCTGGACATACCTATTTTTAAGGTGATTGCCATTGCTGTATTCATGAATACATGGCGCGAATACATGTGAATACATGCATGTATAGCTGGATGCCCTGATTTTGGACGCTTTTTACTGCTGTATTCATGAATACATGTGAATACATGCGCGTACAGCTCGACTGCCCTGATTTTAGGCGCTTTTTGCTGCTGTATTCATGAATACATGTGAATACATGCGCGTACAGCTGGACTGCCCTAATTTTAGGCACTTTTTGCTGCTGTATTCATGAATATAGCAGCGCGAATACATGTGAATACATGCGCGTACAGCTAGACTACCCTAACTTTTAGGCGCTTTTTGCTGCTGTATTCCATAGTAGCTATAGGAAGTAATTATGCATATGGTAGCTATAAGAAGTTAATAGCCACTAAACAATAGTGGTTTCTGAAAATTCCTCTATTACTAATGCACTCTCACATTACATTATTAATTTATTGATGACAAATCAATAAATTACATTATGGCCCTGAAATCCTCAGCCCCACCCTCTCCCCCAACCAACACATTTCATCTCCACCACTAAAAGTCATATGTGTTCATATATTTGCTCACTCACTAAACAATCAGATGAACTAATAGCTTCAATGATCAAATGCCCATCTGAATGAGTTATGAACCATGAAGAAAAGGAACTTGAGCCAGAGCTGTGGGAAGTGAGATGTTGAGATTATGTGTTGCTAGATATGCAGCAATACCGGCAGCATAGCCAGCAAAAGCAAACCCACTAACCTGCAGAGATAGAAAATAACAAATTATAATAGCAGAAATGTTTATTATTTTCCAAGTGGAGCATCATATAGCAGCAATGGTACCTTTTTCATATACCAAAAGAAGTCGACCTTTTCCATTCCCATAAATGCTACTCCAGCTGCTGAGCCAATTACTAGCATGGATCCACCAGTACCTGCACAAAATGCTACTAGTTGCCAGAACTCAGAATCTTGGGGAAAGGAGGATAGGTCGTACATTCCCATTGTGGCTGCAACCAGAGGAACATTGTCTATGATTGCTGAAACAACTCCAATTGCGCTCGCAATAAGTTCAGTGCTTGGGATATGAGCATCGAGGTAATTTGCCAATTCTCGCAGAATACCTGCTGCCTCCAAGCTATGGAAAGGATGTTAATACACCAGAACAACTAAGTAATGCTAAGCTTCCTAGTTCAGATGGCATGGATAACAGTTGATAGTCACACAGTGCATGAGCAAAACACAGAGTAATAGATCCTACACCCACCCCAAATCCTAGAAGAACAATAAGATTTTCCCAATGATTTCACTTATAGAGGTTTACTCCTATTAATACAACAGCAACATACCCAGTATTATCCCACACCGTGGGGTTACTCCTATTAATAAATACTTAGAACTAGTTCATACCAAATGCCCTCGATTGCAGATTTTTTAACAGAGCTAGCTCACAACATCTATCGCACCAATATCATGCTATTCTCCAACCAAAGGAGGGCAACACCTGACCAGCTTCCTGGGTGGGGTTGGATCACCGCAGTGAGAAAATGCCCCACTTTTAGAACTATGGAAAAGGATTTTGAACATAGGGCCAATTTTTTTTTTTTTTTTTTGGTTTTTCACCCGGTATCTAGTATCCGCATTGGGGTCCGACTAAATCCGGAATTGTGCCAGGAAGTCCCACATTAAGGTTAAAGTGCTCTCTAAGTCTAACAAAGGCCACCCATACCCAGGGCTCGAACCCAAGACCTCTGGTTAAGGATGAAGGAGTACTTACCACTCCACCACAACCCTTGTTGGTGTATATAGGAACAAGTTCACATCATCTACATGTAATTTCAGAATGGGGTGCATTACCTCATGTAAATTACTCCAAATCATTTAAAAGATCGTGTAATTTACATTAAGTAATATGATGTATGAACCTATTCTTCTATCAAGAGAAGGGTATTGCGTGCATTTTTTTATTACTATGCTGCTGTAAGGAGAGAGGGAAGAAATATGAAATTTTTCCATAAAATATTTACTCAAGTAGTGAAGGTTGCACAACAGCGATCCAAGTACCAGAATTCTTGCTGTCAACCACAATTTATTTTTATCATTTGCCAAATTCAGTAATTAACTGACATCTCATAGTAGAAAAGACCAGAACATTTTTCTAGTCAATAGAAGCAAAAAAGGAAAAAGATTGCATTAATGTGAAATATGTGAATTTTGCACAAACAAGCATGTATTAAGACACATGAGAATATGTCATGATAGATTAACCATTCTGCTACGATATTGGAGGCAGAAACAATTAACAACCCAAAGGATTCTTCAATACCTGCTAACGGACAATAAGATTCCGAGGAAGAAAAGAGCTCCTTGAGTGTCAATGCGTGATAAAGCCTGTGGTACTTTCAGTCGCTGTCTTTCTGATTCTCCATAGTGAATTGCATCTGTGATTATCCAAAGAACTCCCAGTCCAAGCAGCATACCCATGTATGGTGGCAAACCAGTCAAGGCCTTGAAAACTGGTACAAACACTAAAGCCCCAAGTCCTACTGAGAAAACTAGCTGTCCTCGAGGAGCCATCTGTTCGGATGCCAGAACATCTGCGGAATTTTGTCCTTTCCCGTTTACTTCACTGAACACGGGAATAATATCACATATAGTTTCTTTCCTACTCTATTGCTTGAAATATTTCCGAAACTCAAGAAGCTCTTTAGGTCTATGCTATAAATGTACCTTGTAAGGGACAGCAGAGCCAAAGGAACAGCTAGAGAAACTGCTGATGGTAAAAATAAGTCCTGCGAAAAAATAAAGTGCATTGCACTTGTTACCAAGACTGGAATAGAAACTTCACTTGGCAACTGAAGTAAAGAGTTCTTTAAATGAAGACTGGACAGGCTTAGACATGATCTAGCAGGGTGAGAGTTCCAGAGATTAATGTACTAATTTTCAAAATATAACTGTGTGAAAGATTATGAAAGTCAATTGTTTTTTTTTTTTGTTTAAATGAATATACGCTGTGGATAGAACCAGTGGCAGCATTGAAATAAAACTTCCTTTATCACTAAAAACTTATATACTTCTTTCTTCCCCCTTCTTTCCGTCTTGCATACTTAATTCCATAACTAAGTGCAGTTTGAGAGAATGCAACTGAGTTGTAAGCATCATGCATTCATTTCAGCTCTACCTTCATCCATAGCGTCGAATATATATCCAACTAAACTTAAATGAGCATTCTCTCCTCTCTTCTCTCTTCTCTCTCTCCTCTCCTCTTCTCTTTCTGAACCCTAAGCAGCCGGCAAAGAGCAGTCACTGCTGGCGACTGAAAATCCGACGACAGCAGCAGGTAGACCCCCTTCTCTCTCCTCTCCTCTCTCTCTCTCTCTCTTTCTCTTATCTTCTCTCCTCTCCCCCTCTCTCTCCCTTCTGAACCCTAAGCAGACGAAAGAAGAGCAGCCATCGCCGGCGTCTGCTCCCTTTCCACCCCTGTCTGACCTGCTCTCTTCTCACTCTCTAGCCCCCCCTTCCTCCCTCCCTCCCTCCCTCCCGTCAGCCGCATCTCAACAAGTAAAAGGCAGTCTATCCGACCCCTCTTTTCTTCCTCTCGGTCTTGTTCCTTTTCATTGCAGGACTTCGGGACGAGACAGCAGACAGTGGAACCGGTGCGTGGGTGGAAGCACTATTTTGTCATCTCCGACTACTAATCAGGCCCACGTTTCCGTACAGTCACATTACCGGCAGAATTTTTCCACACTGGTGGTCACATCTTCAGTTCCAATGTGGTCCAATAACTTCGGGCAGCTTTCCGGCGAGCTTCACCGTTTCCGGCGACTAAATTCCTCGACTACAACACCAGGTTCTACCGTTCTTGTTCTATTATATTCTATTGCCTGTTCATTCTTTGATATTAGTTGTGTGTATCCAGTTTATTGTTTTGTTCTTTCTTATTAGTTGTGTATATACTGTTTCTTGTTGTGTTCTCCAAGACTTGTTATATTTTTCTTGTGTTCTATTTGCCTGTGCCGGCAGTCTTTTATTGTGTTTAATACATCTTTTTTGGTTGCCTCGCCGGCTACCCGTAGTTGGATTGATTGCTCTAGGTAGACAACACTTGCTTGCTTTTCGGTACTTGCAATTAGTGTCTATAAGTTTTAAGTTATCATCTATATCATTTTGACTGCCCCGCATGCATAGTGGTAGATTAGAAACGAGGTAGATCAACTGCCCTAGTGCTTGCTTGTTTTACTATACTCGTAGTAGCGCCTTTTGAGTTTTTTTTTAGCCTTTCGAATTCTTAGCTTATATTCCTTTGTTTTCGCTCTTTGCTATTTAAGTGGTAGTGATTACTTAATACCCCTTAGACTATAGTGGCTGTGGTGAATGATGGCAGTGTAAGGTCATGTCCTCGGGTGGGGCGGGGGGTGGGGAGCAAGGATGGTAAAGGGGTTAAGGGAGCCTCTAGGCTGAGAGTTGGGTCCTGGAACATAAGGACATTGGCGAGGAAGTCTATAAAGTTAGCTAAGATTCTCCAGAAGAGGAAGATCAACATAACATGTGTCCAGGAGACTAGATGAGTGGGTACTAAAAGGCACGGGATGTAGACGGGTTTAAACTGTAGTACTCAGGAGACTAGATGAGTGGGTACTAAAAGGCTCGGGATGAAGACAGGTTTAAACTGTAGTACTCAGGAGGCGCTGGGACAAGAACGAGGTAGGTATTTTAGTCGACGAGGGACCTCAGGGAGCTAGTGGTCGAGGTTAGGAGGGTAACAATAGGTTGATGAGTATTAAGCTTGTAGTTGGAGGGTTTACTGTAAACGTGATTAGTGCATACGCTCCTCAGGTAAGCTTGGACCTGGAGGTCAAGAGGCGATTTTGGGAGGATTTGGAAGAGGTGGCGTGTAGTATCCCGCACACCAAGAAGCTTTTCATTGGAGGGGATTTCAATGGCTATATTAGCGCTAATGCTAGGGGTTATGATGATGTGCATGCAGGTTCGGTTTTGGGGATAGGAATGAGGGAGGTACCTCAGTGTTGGATTTCGCTAGAGCTTTTGATTTGGTGATAGCTAACTCGAGTTTTCCGAAGAGGGAGGAGCACCTGGTCACCTTCCAGAGTTTGGTGGCCAAGATTCAGATTGATTACCTTCTCTGCAGAAAATGTGATAAAGGTTTATGCACTATTTGCAAGGTCATCCCGAGTGAGTATCTCAAGACGCAGCATAGACTCCTAGTAATGGACCTGGAGATCAAGAGGAGTAGGAGGAAAAAGGTGATGTGCAGGCAACCTAAGATCAAGTGGGGTAACTTGACTAAGGACAAAACTCAGAAGTTGGGGAAGAGGTTGCTGGCTATAAGGGCATGGCGGAGTAGGGGGGACGCGACTAGGATGTGGACCACGACGGCGAATTGCATTAGGAAAGCTGCTAGAGAGATCTTAGGGGTCACGAAGGGTTATTCTTGGGGTCACAAAGGGAACTGATGGTGGAATGGAGAGGTCCAAGATAAAGCGGAAGCCAAAAACGCGGCTTATTTGAAGTTAGTGCAGAGTACAAACGAGGAGAAAAGGACATATCAGGAGTGTTAGAAGAAAGCAAAGAAAGAAGCGAAGTTAACAGTTACGGTGGCGAAGCCTACATCGTTTGGATATCTGTACGAGGAACTCGGGGTCAAAAGCGGAACCGATTGGCCAAGGTGAGCGAGAGAATGGCCCGTGACTTGGACCAAGTGAAGTGCATCAAAGACGAGGACGGCAAAGTATTGATGGACGAAGCACATATTAGGTGAAGATAGCAGACATACTTTCATAAACTATTGAACGAGGAGGGCAACATAAGCATCGTGCTGGGTGAGTTGGAGTGCTGGGTGAGTTGGAGCACTCCGAGAGTCGGCGTGATTTTAGGTATTGTAGTCGTATGCGTAAGATGAGCAGGGGCAGATCGACGGGACCAAACAAAATCCCGGTGGAATTTTGGAAGAATGCGGGCCGAGCAGGCTTGGAGTGGCTTATTGGGTTATTTAATTTATTTTCAAGACAAAGATGATGCCCGAAGATGGAGTACGATGGTTCCGTTTTACAAAAACAAGGGTGATTGATATCCAAAATTGCAACAACTACAGAGGTATAAAGTTGTTAAGTCACAATATGAAGGTTTGGGAGAGGGTGGTAAAAGTCAGGGTGAGGAGAAGCGTTCGACTGCGGAAGCTACTCATCCGGTGGGGAGATTAGTGGAGCAGTATAGGGAAAGGAAGAAGGACTTGCATATGGTGTTCATTGACCTTGAAAAAGCGTACAATAAAGTTCCGAGGGAGGTTCTGTGGAGGTGTTTGGAGGTTAGCGGCATTCCGGTAGCGTACACTTAGGGTAATTAAGGATATATAGTGCTAAGACTAGGATGATGAGTGTGGGGGGTGACTCGGAACACTTCTTAGTTGTGATGGGGCTGCACCAGCCTGTTTGTTTTTGCCTTGGTGACGGACATACCAACGCGACACATCGAAGGGGAGGTGCCATGGTGCATGTTATTTGCCGATGATATAGTGTTGATCGACGAGATGCGAGGCGGGGTTAACGCGAGGTTGGAGGTTTGGAGACAGACCTTGGAGTCTAAAGATTTCAAATTGAGCAAGACCAAAATAGAATACTTGGAGTGTAAATTCAGTGACGGGACTCATGAAGCAGACATGGATGTGAAGCTTGATACTCAAGTTATCCCCAAGAGAGATAGTTTCAAGTATCGAGTTTATTATTCAAGGTAAACGGGAGATAGACGAGGATGTCACATATCGTATTGGAGCGGGATAGATGAAATGGAGGCTCGCATCCGGCGTTCTATGTGATAAGAATGTGCCGCCAAGACTTAGGGGTAAAATTTACAGAGTGGTGGTTCGACCAACTCAGTTGTATGGGGCTGAGTGTTGGCCAGTCAAGAACTCCCATGTGCAGAAGATGAAAGTAGCAGAAATGAGGATGTTAAGATGGATGAGTGGGTGTACCAGGAGAGATAAGTTTAGGAATGAAGTTATTCGGGACAAAGTGGGAGTGGCCTCCGTAGAGGGCAAGATGTGGAAGTCGAGGCTGAAATGGTTTGGGCACGTTAAGAGGAGAAGCATAGATGTTCCTGTTAGGAGGTGTGAGAGGTCGGCCATGGCGGGTTTGAGAAGAAGTCGAGGTAGGCCAAAGAAGCACTAGGGGGAAGTGATTAGGCAGGACATGGCGCTATTTTAGCTTACCGAGGACAGAACCCTTGATAGGAGGGTGTGGAGGTCGAGAATTAGGGTAGAAGGTTAGTAAGGAGTTGAAAGTTTCTCCTTTTCTTACCAGTAGTATTAGTAGCACGCATGTACCTTCTTATTCTCAGATCTATATTACGTCATGTTGTTTAGTTTGTTTCAGTTATCGTATTTCCCTGTTGTTACTATTTTGGTACTATTCATTCTTTTTCTCCCTCATTTTCTTCTCTCACCCTTTTCTTTCTTTTTCTTCTTTTCTTCTTCTTCTTCTTTTCCTCCTTCTCACCTTTTCCGAGCCGAGCGTCTATCGGAAACAACCTCTCTATCTTCACTAGGTAGGGGTAAGGTCTGCATACACACTACCCTCCTCAGACCCCACTTGTGTGAATATACTCGGTTTGTTGTTGTTGTTGTAAACTTAAATGAGCATTCCTCTACTTAGAATGGGGTTATAGTTTCCTCCAAAGCCAATGCAAGCATGTTTTCTGGCCAAGTCAGTGTATGTACGGTTATATACTGTTTAATATGACATTAACAATGTTATGAAAATCATGCGTATGTAGACCAATCATCATTCAATATTGGAAGCTATACCAAATGACAATCAGTCATCCGGTGCTTTCTTGATAATTCCTTCTCGCCCTTTTCTCTTAGATTGTTTTTGCCGTTATGACACAAGGAAAGATGTGCATGCAAGAAAATAGAAGCAGTCAGATAGAAAAATTCAAGAACCTTCATTGTTGACAACGTGGATATTTGCCCGTGTATCCAGAGCATTGTAGTTGTAACATCACCTATGGGAGTCCATGCTCCGCCAGCATTTGCTGCTATAACCACAACAGCACCAAGAAGCCTGCGAACAAATACTTTACAGATAATTTACTTCTTACAGTAAAGACATCTGAACCTTCAGAAAAAGGATACATGAGCAAGAAACTGGTACGTATAGGAGCAAGACAAAGTAATTATAAATGGTCAATATTCATCTCATGAGAAGTTTCTCGGGCCCATCCCTCAAACTTAAGATTTATTGTATAAGGGGCTGGAAGATCCACAATTTTCACAGTTTGAAGATTGTTAATTTGAACACCATATTCAGCTTTTAAGGCTGAACAAACAAAAGCTAGAAATAGTTCAGAATTCTGGGAAAATACTCAAAATGAATAATAGCCAGAGATACTAGAGAGTCTAGTCTATCCTTGGACAGAAAGGCAAACATGATTTGTTTCCTTAGGAGTCGTTTGGTTCGCAAACAAGTTATACCGGGACTATAATGTGGGGATTATAAGACGGGGAGTAAATAACGACGGGATTATTTAGTGGATATACTTTGTTTTGTAGATGTTTGGTTCATTGGATCAGAAATGGGATAAAGGGAGTATAATATAAAACATATGTTTGGTTTTACAATAGATAAACTTGGATAAACTTTTAGTTTCAGTTTTAACCTTAGCCTTCTTAAAGGACTTTAGGAGAAGAGCTATGGAGAAGAACATTCATTAAATGACCATTCTATCCCGAGATTATTTTTCATTATCCCATGAAACAAACAACCCCTAAAAGAATAAGAGTAAAGTTCTAGAAGACACTGATCGATAAGGTACTTATTGCTCTTAAAACATCGCATCACATGCAACCATTCTACTGTGTTCTTCATTCATAAATTGAATATAATAGGTCCTCATAAGAAGCTTTCACAAATTGAATTGAAAGAAACTTGAAGTAATACAAAGTTGCATCTTGGGAAGATCCGGGCTTTTCATTTCTCTTATAGACACCCAACTTGCTTCAACATGTACATCCCTATTTCTTTCCTCTCCTTTTTCTCTAATTCAAATATCAAAACTTCTTGAGACTTCTGGCAATCAATATCATCAATCGTGCATACTTCCAAGATCAAATTAGAACTTTAGATGAAGTATGAGAGCAAGCATAGAGTAAAAAACCTTAGTATCTTAGCTCCTATTAGAAGGTTGTACAGATGAGGCTCAAAGATGCTCATACTTACTTTCGGTATTCTGAAGGCGGTGCCAGTTTCCTCAGTAAGGAGACCATCACTATAGTAGAAGTCAGGTTATCCAGGATTGAACTAAGGAAGAAAGTCACAAAACCTACCTGAAATTTTCAATTAAACATTAAGCACATCAGAAAGTTAATAACAACAGAAGGAAACAAGCAGCATACGAAAATGTTGAAACAGTCTGAACTCTCAGGTATTTCATATTATTGAGTCGTTGTTTTCATAGGTGGCGTTTAGTGTGTAATTCATCTATGTACGTCATGTACTTCATCTAACAAGGACAATTATACTACCCTCAGTCTGCTGTGCATTATAGAATCCTAAAATATCTAGGAGTGATATCAAATTTAAATTAAATACTCACAACATAGACTACTAAGAACCGACTACTAAGAACCGTTACGATTGAAAGGAACTTGGAAGCCAAATTATATGTGAAATGCGTACAACAAAGACTATTAAGATCCATCAATTAATAGAAAACCCTCTCCAAGAGCACTGTGCATCTCTGATCTCTGTATTGAAGAAACAATGAGTATTTCTTATTTTGAGAATTGTCAATTCCTAAAAGAAGACTTTCGAACATAAGAAAATGGTAGATGCCTAACTCTCTAGCATGAAGACTTCCCCCCTCAGCACATGCATTTTACAAAAAGAGTACTATGACTGAAAATGTTGCGACAAAACATGGGCCTCAATAGATTCCTAAATCGGTAGGGAAAGTGGACCTTCTGTCATCATCCACTTATATTAATCCTTCTTATTCTGATAATTCTTCAATTTACGGGGAATTACTTAAATTATCATATTATTTTGAAGGGTAATTATCACACTAATTTGAAGAGTACACTGTACAGTCAATAAAATAATGAATTTATGAAAAATGAGACCAGAATCTGTGTTTGCTAGACTAAAAGCAAGATATTACAGAATCTCCAGATTCAGAGAAAAGAACAAAGAACTGCTTAGCTAAACAGAGCCGAAGAGTGATTTGGAACAGAAAACATTAATGAAGCACTAACCACCCAAAGCAGAGTTTTTGGCTTGCGAGTAGTGATGTTGTCAGTAACAAGCTTAAATCCCTGATGAGCATCAACTATCTCAACAATGGTCATCGCACCAAGTAAAAAGAACACTATTTCACTAACTTCAGCAGTTGCATGTGACAATTCTGAAAGAGCTATGTCATTTGAAGGAGCCTGCCAAGGACATAAAAAAAGAGTGTAAAAATGTCAAACAACACTTGGACGGAAGATAAAAAGACATCTTCGCTCTAAATTCCATAATTGTTAATAAGAAAACCATCCTAGAGCTTGTTTCGATGATCATTCAATCTCTATGATTATCATCTTATTTCACGTATGCTGGCAAAATTCGTCATAAAAACAAAATGTTTGGAAAGCTACTTTCCACATTATGGATGAAAACTTTTATTCAGAGTTCACCGATAGTTTTCATCTTGCACCACATTATTTGGGTGTTAACAAAAAAAAATTATTTAATCCTATCATGTGAATGATTAGAGATGCAGCTTAGTTTATACCGATGTCTATAGTCATATTATTCCTACCGAAAATGCAAATAAGTAAGATCATAGCACGAGTATAGAAAACAAGTTCAAGTGTAATAGAAAGAATACAGACCGATTAGCGACCCACTTTGGACAGGGTGTACCTGATTGCTAAGATACTTCACCACATACACTTTCCATTGAACACTGTGGTATTATTAATGGCACAGCTGATAGCATAGACTAGAAAGTAGCTGTGTGTTGAAACTTGAAAGCATCTATTATTTGGGAGATGTTGAGTTGTTTACTTGTTGAAAAGTTTAGAACGTGCCCCATTCACTTGCCAAGTTATATAATATTCTAAGATATATAAAACAAAATGGACTCTTTTCCATTTAATATTTTGATGGTCTAAACAGGATCCACATTTGGAGGAATTAGTAGGTGCACTGGACCTTCCAGTTTTAATTGTAAATTTTACTTTCCTTGTGTCTTAGCGGAAGGAGGAGGAGCACCACAGCGCATACAAGTTAAAAAGTAGTATGTTGTAGATAGCTAAATAATCCTAGTCCCACATGAAATAGGGGTAGAATATGTATTCTGTATAGTTAAAAATAGGGCTCAGTGTATTATAGTTAAATCAACAGTATTCTTTTACCATGCTAATTCTTACATGGTATCAAAGCGGCAGTGAAAAAACATCCGGGAAAGGTAAGCCAGCCAAAATAGTCATTGTGTTCAATTCCGGCGACGGTTTTAAGGGCTGATTTGCGTTCTCTCTTTTTCCCTTAGTGTTGTGCAAAATCCAGCACCACCACAAGGTTCCGATATCAGAGGCGACCAAACCCCAGTAAGTTTCTCCGGCAAAGTCCCCTCCACGCGCCTCCATGCGCCTATAAGATCTATGAATCTGGCGGTGTGTCTGTCTCACGCGCCGACGCATGTGAGCTTCTCCGGCAAAATTTCGACTAGATTTTCTTTTTGCAGCGAGGTCGCCATGCAATTCCGAGTAGACCCATAATTTTTTAAATTTTTTTTGAACAGCCAGACTAGGATTCCGGCGTAGTAATTGTTTTCAGGCCACTTTCAGTCTATCTCAGTTAGAATTCAGTCTATTTGAGGATTATTTACTTAGAACAACTATGTCTCTCGGATTTGATATTTTTGGTTCTAAAAACATAGGTGCTAGAAATTCAAGCTTCATGATTACTTCAAAGCCCTTAATGAGAAGCTCAAACTATTTAGCTCGGGCTTCCTCTGTCGAGTTGTGGTGCAAAGACCAAGGTGTTCAAGACCACTTAACCAAAAAGGCTAGTGAGGGAGATGAAAAGGCCAAAGCGGAGAAGATCAATGCTCAATTATATAGTATTTTATGGCGATTTATTGATTCCAAATTGATGCCCTTGTTTCGTCCATTCCAGACATGTCATTTAGTTTGAGAAAAGGCTCGCACTTTATACACTAATGACATATCTCGTTTCTACGATGTGATATCGCGGATGACAAATTTAAAGAAACAGGAATTGGATATGTCTACTTACTTGACACAAGAACAGGAAATCATGGATAAATTTGAGAAGTTGATGCAAGTTTCTGCTAGTATTAAAAAACAACAAGAGCAACAATAGAAGATGTTTCTAGTTCTTACATTCGCTGAACTTCCTAATGACCTTGATTCAGTACGTGACCAGATTTTCGCTAGTCCGACTATTCCTACAATTGACGAATTATTCTCTCGATTACTTCGTCTTGCTGCATCGCTAGTCACACAGTGATCTCACCATAGACAACTGACTCCTCTATTCTCGCATCCCAAACAATGAAAAATCGGGCATCTCAGACTATGGAGAATAAATGAGGAGGGGTCATTTTGGACGTACTCGTGAAGTTTGCTATTCTTTACATGGTCGACTACCCAAAAATGCTCATGTTGCTCATACCGAGACTACAGGTAATCAGAGATTTTCTTTATCTAAAAGGGAATATAATGTGTTCTATCGAGCAAGTAAGAAGACATCTCCACAAGTAGCCTCGATTGCTCAGACTGATACTTCTGTTGCTGGTAATTAGATTGTGGGTCGTGTCAGCTTAGGCAACGTACCCGAGCCACCTTTCCTCGTAGTGTTGAGAGTCGTGCAAAGTCTGTTTTATCTTTAGTTCATTCTGATATATGGCTCCTAGTAGAGTCAGTTCAACTTTAGGATTTCATTATTTTGTTATTTCCACTGATGATTATACAAGATGTACTAGGCTTTTCTTAATGAAAGATCATTCTAAGTTGTTTTCTATATTCCAGAGTTTTTGTACTGAAATAAAAAATCAATTTGGTGTTTCTATTTGCAATTTTCGCAGTGATAATGCCTTAGAATATTTATCCTCTTAGTTTCAGCAATTTATGACTTCGGAATTATTCATCAGACATCTTGTCCTTATACCCCTCAGCTAGGGGTGGGCATATATCGGGTAAAACCGATAACCCGAACCGTTAATTATTTATTGGGTTATCGACATTGGGTTATTGGGTTAACGGTTCGGTAACGGGTTAATTTTTTTTATTGGGTTATCGGTTCGGGCTCGGTTTGTCAATTCTGTTATTGGGTAAAACCGATAACCCAATAAGGATTAACTAATTTACTAGTTTACCCTCAAGTATATACATACTAGGGTTTCATAATTCATAGTTCACTCTTTGATTTCCCTATTCTTTCTCAGTTTCTCCGCCTAACGCTCTCACCAGTCAGCCCGTCAAGACTCAGGCCGGCGTCAGTCGCATCACGCCCTCACTAGTCAGCCCGTCAGGACTCAGGCCGGCGTCAGTCGCATTTCTCAGCTTCTTTCTTTCACTCTTCAGTCGCATTTCACTTCATTTCTCAGATCCATCAGATTCTTCAGTCGCATCTTCACTTCACTCTTCATTCGCATTGTAGTGTTGGACTATTAGTGTTGAACTCTCTTCTATTGTTGCAGATTTAGTTCTATTGTTCTATTGTTAGCAGAACTATTAGTTCTATGTTTAGCAGAACTATTTGATGAAGCTGTTCAGTCTTCAAAGCAATCGAAGGGTAGTGACTCAACTTCTCACTTTTTCTTTTGACATTTACAAAAATTGCATCACAAACATGTGCATCGTGGCTGACACTTGTATTTGTTATTCATTTAGATCCCTTGTATTTGCAGAAAGTGTCGAAGTGAAAATATGACTCATATTCTGTTTTTCGTCACTGACTGATATTTGGATTTTTGCTTATATTTTTTGGGTTGAAGAATGAAAGATAGAAACTTTGGTTAGTGTTTATTTTATTGGATGTTGTAGTAAATTTAAATTCTTGTGAAATAGAACAGTTCTGAAAAGAGTTTTAGCAAGACAGTTCTTAAAATCTTATAAAACTGTTTTAGCAAAACAGTTTTATAACGAAACAGTTTTATACATTGCGAAATTATTTTAGTTGTATTATCTTATCGGGTAAACCGATAACCGAACCGATAATGATCGATAACCGATTAATCGATAACCGACAACCAATATCTTATCGGTTTGGTTATCGGGTTATGATATTTGTAAACCGATAACCGATAGGCAAAACCGATAATATTCATAACCGAACCGAACCGAACCGAACCGAACCGACCGATGCCCACCCCTACCCTCAGCAGAATGGGCTTGTAGATGGAAAGAATAGGCACCTCATTGAGACTGCTCGCACACTTCTCATTCAGTTCCATATTCCGCTACGTTTTTAGGGCGATGCAGTTCTCAAGGCTTCTTACTTGATTAATCAGATGCCTTCATCTTCCATCTAGAATTAAGTCCCGCATTCAGTATTATTTCCTCCGTCACCCATATACTCTCTTCACCCTTGTATTTTTGGGAGCACATGTTTCGTTCATAACTTAGCCCCTAGGGAAAATAAGTTAGCTCCTCGTGCTCTCAATTGTGTCTTCATTGGTTATTCTCTTCAAAGGGATATTATTGCTACTCACCTAATCTTCGTAGGTACGTTGTGTTAGCTGATGTCACATTTGTTGAGTCCCGTCCCGACTTTACCTCTTCTGACCATATTAATAAATTTAAGGTCTTATCTATACCAACTTTTGAGGAGTCTAATATTGCTCCTCTTATATCCCCAGCCACGGAAGTCTTACCCATATCAATTTTTAAGGAGTCTACTATTGCTCCTCCAACATTCTCAGCTGTAGGAACACCACTCTTTGACTTATCGTCGTCATCCGCATCCAGCATCAAGCTCCGCTTATTCACATTCGGCACCTGACCCTGCTCCTACTGCGGACTTATCTCCTCCTAGTCCACCGATTGCACTTCGAAAAGGTATACGATCCACACTTAATCCTAAATTCATAATATGTCGATTTAAGTTATCGTCGTCTGTCATCACTCTATTACGCGTTTGTATCATCTTTTTCCTTTATTTCCATCCCTAAGCCTACAGATGAAGCACTATCTCATCCAGGATGGCGACAACTATAATTAACGAGATGTCAGCTTTACATGCGAGTGGTATTTGGGAGATTGTTCCTCTTCCCTCGGGTAAATGTATTGTTGGTTGTTGTTGGGTTTATGCAGTCAAAGTTGATCAAATGCCCAGGTTGATCGACTTAAGGCCCGCCTTGTTGCCAAAGGGTATACTCAAATATTTGGGCTAGATTACAGTGATACTTTGTCTCCTGTGA